CCCTCGCCTCGGGGATCTTAGCAGGGTCTGTTGGGACTGCATGGAATCGAGCGAGCCGATGAGCTGCTACGGGTGAGTGGTTGCCGCCATCACCTGTGGACGAAGGCGAGGCTCCAGTACGAGCTCAGCTGCAGCTGTAGCCGCCCCACAGGCCCGCATTCAATGCCTCCCGATCGATTGCAGACATCTGGAGGCGGCGAGCTGGCCGGCGAGCGGCAGGGGGGCCCAGGCTGCTGCTTCAGGCGCTGCCGCTTCCCTCGCGTGCGCTACGTGCGGTGGGGCGCTGGGCCGCCACCAGCTGGCCCAGTTCAACTGCTCCGCATCCATGGTGGACCTGCAGCAAGCAGCGGCAGCGGCAGAGTGCTGGGAGGGCATGGATGCAGCATGCACAGGTGCGCAGCAGCCCTCCCGCCGCCGCTAGGGCAGCCCGTCCCGCCGACAACCCTAGCTAGTGTTGCCGCCGCCACGCGCGGCTGCCCCCATGGCGGATGCTTCTGCTGCCACTGCATGCTGGCTTTAGCCTCGCGTGCTGGCCGTCTCGCTACTGTGCTTTACGTGCTTGTGGCTTGCGTGCCCATGGCAGCGCCTTTATGTACCCACGTACCGCCTCCTCGTGCCCGCCACCCGGCTGCACCGCGCCGCCTGCGACTCTTCCAGCTCTGGCCCACATCGTTGCCATATGTGCTGTACTTCTTCTCTACATCGAAAATCCTCTTCTTCTCCCACCTAAATTGGAATCGCCGGCCCTAGGCCTCATCCTGCTGCACTCGCCACCAGCCATGCTCACTCGCCGCTGCCTACTCGCCGCTGCCTATCCTGCAGCTCTCCCCACAGAAGACCTTCCCCGCATCCGTGTGCGGCAGTGCGCCTCGCCCTCAGCAGCGCCCGCAGGCAGCTGGGGGGACGGCTGCGGCAGCGGGATGGCGGCAGAGCGCCAGCGCCAGCGACAGCGCTCGGTCACGCCTGTTGACCTGCCTTGCCAGCCGGGGGCCGGCAGCTGCGAGTGTGGCCCAATCACCCCAGCCGCCGCCCCCAGCCACGCCACCATGAGCCCCAGCGCCGCAGCCCAGGCCGGCGCAGCCTCCGGCCACCCCGCTGCCGGCGCCCCCGGCGCGTCTGCCGCCGCGGCCGCCGCCGCCGTCGACGACGGTGGCCAAGCAGCCGCGCAGCACGCTGCCACCGCCGCCGCCGCGCTCTGGCGCCGCATCCACTCCTTCATGCACTGCGTGGCTGGCTCCCCGCTCATCCAGTCTGCCCTGCTGTCTGTGGAGCTGGGCGGCACACACCCTGTGGCAGCGGAGCCGGGCATGCCTGCCAGCGAGGCCCTGCAGTGGACCCTGGCCCAGCTGCTGGGCATGCACCTCAAGGCGGGCCACGCCGAGGGTGAGCCGCCGGCCGCCGGCCACGCCGCCGCCGCATGCTGAGGCCCTGCCGCAGCCGCCTGCCCTGGTGTGGCTGATGCCTACCCCCTGCATCTGCGCGAGGCGCCACAGCCGCGCCCGGCAATGCTGGCACCAGCACCGAGCCGACCCGCTGCTGTCGCTCCTGCCCCCACCCCGCAGCCTCCGAGAACATGGTGCTCGCCTCGCTGTGGCTGATGGAGTCTATGGAAAGCGTGTGGCGCTCCCCTGCCACCGTCTGCCTGAACGACTACCTCAAGCACCTGGCCGTCTTCTCGCCAGAGGTGCGCAGCTACTCCCCCGGGGCTCCTTCCCTGCCGCTGTGTCGCTGCTCTGCTGCCGTGGCCTGCGTGCTGCACGGTGCTGCCTGCACCAGCAGTGCCAGCCCGCAAGCAACACCGTCGCTGCTCTGCCTCGCCCGTGGTGGTACAGGCGGTGGTTCAGATCACGGCAGACTGGAAGCGCTCCTTCCGTGAGCTGCGCCAAGGCGTGGTGGATGCCCAGGTGTGGCTGCTGACCCTGCCAGGGTGTTGGGTAGCAGCGCCTTGGGCTGTTGGGAGCCCAGCTTGCACCTGTGGCCGTTGCGGGTAGAAGGAGTGTCCCTGCAGAAACGTGGCGCTGGCCCATGCCAGAGTGCCTTCTCCGGCAATGTGGCCACTCCAACCCCTGCCTGCTGCCGCGCCTTGTTCAGGCGGACATGCTGACTCGCCTGGACTGGTGTGTGCGCCTCGACCTGGCAGCAGGTGGGTGGTGGGCACGCCCCCCTGCCCGACAAATGCGCCTCCGTCGATCTCTCCCTGCATGCCAAGCTCAGGCTGCGTTGTGGGCCACGCCAGGGCCCAGCCGGTGCTGCCAAGCACACCGCCATTGCCGCAACGACTTGCTTGTATCTGTCCCGCCTGCAGAGGTGAAGCCTTGCCTGGACCTGCTGTTCCAGCTGCCCCAGGGCTCCCAGCAGCAGCTGGCTGGCCAGGCCGCCGCGGCCGCCAACCCAACGGCCGCCAGCGCCCGCGAGGTCTGGGCCCTGCGCATGCACCGCCTCTGCTCCTACGTGCAGCAGCAGGTGCGTGGCCTGGCTGGCCCTGCTTTTGCCGCCTCTGTTGAAAGTGCTTTGCCGGCACTGCTGCACGGGAGCCAACGGCAGCGGATGGGCCGCTGTGCCAGCACAGCTGCTACAGTACGGCCGTGTCGTGCCAGCGGTCCGGCGCTGGCTGTGCCAGGCACTTTGACGGCAAAAACAGCGCCTTCCTGACACGCTGTGCCTCCCCTGTGCCTGCACCTGGCTTGCAGGCACAGCACCTGCGCAAGCCTACTCGCACCCCCCTCCGCCGCTCCCAGCAGAGCAAGGTTGAGGAGGAGGAGGAGCAGCTGACCCCCACCAAGCGCCAGCGCACGCTGCGCATCCACGCCTAGAGCCCTGGCCTGCCGCCATGCCTGGCAGGGCGGCGGGCCGGCGGCTGTTGTGCAACGCATGCACCCGCCGGCCTGCTCTGCCCCTTCCACCCATGGGGCAGAGTGGGCAGTGGCCGGCCTTGCCTGCTGTAAAAGGTAAAGGTAAAGGTGGGGAAGAGCCTCCACAAGCTTCACTTCCCGGTTTTAACGTCTAGCTTTAGACCATTATTTGATCTGCCCGACGCGCCAAGTGCAGTACCCCCCACTAGTAGTGAATGGGTCCCGGGGAGGCCTGTGCCGAAGCCTTGGCGATTCTATTAGGCGTTCCCGAAGGAATTGGCTTGGATTGGCGCTGAGCCGGTCAGCTATGCCGCGTTTGTCCTCGCTGTGCGCTGTGCGTGCTCAGGCGGCCAGCTGCCCTCTGATTGTTGCCTTGCTATTCTGTGCCGCGCCACGCGGCCCATCTCCCCTTTCCCCGTCTTCCTTCCCCCTTCATCACTTTGTGCTGCTGTAACCCCCGCCACAATTTCCATGTCGAACTGCCGTCAATGTTCCACCTTCTCTCCTCGCCCGTCTTTTCCAGTCCTGTAGCCGGCTTCGACGCCAGCCCCCCCTGTGTTTCATTGTGCGCTGTGGGCACCGCTGTACCTCTGCATGCCATTCTTCCGTGGTTCGCCCCCCGACTCACATGCCCCCTGCCTTTTCCTTGTGCCCTGTGGCCCCCAGCGGGCCACCTCTGAACGAACGTTTGGCGTGTTGTTTAGCAGATTGTAGATTGAAACAGTTCTAGTCTCCCTGCCCACTGCCCGTCCCACCAAACCCCCTGCCGTGTGTTTCATGAACGTCGTATCGTCCATTTGTAGTGTCGCATCTTAGTCGCATGCCGCCGTTGCCAGCCGGGCAGCAGCGTTGCTCGCTGGCTCAGCCCATTCGGTTAGCTTCGTAGCTCACGCCGCCCCTTTCATGTCCTCTCCTTCTGGCAAGCGTAGCACTGTTCTTTCCTGTTCCCTCTTTGCTCTTTTCCATCCCTTCAATCAGGCGGCCCCTCAACGCCCCCCACCGCCTCAACTTTATTGCACCAGGCAGGACGCACCCTCCCACCCACAATTCTTTCGCTATGATGCTGCCGCTGATGGCAGAATGAGGCTGGAACCCCAGCCCCCCATGCCCCTCGCACAGTTGCATGGGCATCGCGCCTTTGGCCGCGCAATGCACCAACACTGTGATTTCACACAGCCACCCCCTTGCCCAATCCTGCTCAACGCGTGACCCTTGCCTACTCTGTTGCTTAGCATGCGACCGCGCACACAACACCTGCATGCCACAGGGCAGCAGGCCCTGCCTTCTCTGCCCTCCCCTGCCTCCCGCCGCCCAGGCCGGCGCAATGGTGGCTCATGGCTGGCATGCCGGTTTTTTCTACACATCAGAGTTTCATTCCTTCTGCCCGAGTTTTCCCACCAGCACCAACACAGCACTTAGCCCCCGCCCGATCCATGCTGGAGGCTCCCCACACCCTCAGGCAGGTCACCTTCCTAGCCTAGACTCAGCATTATGTGAAATGCAGCGTCCAGACCCCTAAGCCCGCCCACCATTTTGTTCTTGTCAGCACCCGGTCAGCTTTGCCCCCGGCCGCCCCTGATAAGAATGCGCGGCGCCGCCCCCGATTTTTTGTCGTTGAGTACGTGTGTCTGTTTGCTGACCGTGATGCCCCCCTCGAGTGCCAGGATACTGTAGTTTTTTGCGCTGAGGTTATGTACGGACCCTTCCCTAACTAATGTAATGCGCTGACGATCTTTCCGCGTCCCTAGGAAGGTATTACATGCCAGCGGCGGGAAACGGCAGCCGCAGAGCCAGCGGGTCATTGCCCAGGGCGTATCTATCGCTTCCTTCGACTTAAGGTGCACGAGAAACTCCAGGGGCCTCGTGGATGGGCCAGACTATCAACAGTGCGAGCCACGCTTTGAGAGCCCCGGCCGGCGGCGGCGGCACGCTGTGACCGACCCACAGCATGGACAGATAGAGGTCTCGCACAAACTGTGCAGCCGCTTTCGCTGGTCCGGGATTGGGAGCTGCCTGGCGGTGGCGCGTGGTGTTGGATGCATCCCTGGGCATGGGACGCTGAAGCGTGGAGACAGCCCGACACGCTCTGCCTCTTGACTCTGCGGCGGCCCAGCTAGCAGCGACATGCAGCGACAACCATGCTGGTCGATGGCGCCGGGCAAAGCAGCAGGTGGGCGTTGGCGGCGGCGGGGTTAGGCCAGCCAGGCGGCGCCATAAACTCCCTCCCTTGTTGCCTTCTTTTTGCTACTGCAGCTCAGTCCTGTGGTCTCTTGTTCGAGAATGACACGTTTGAGGCAGATGCTGGCGGCGGCGAGGATGTCGCTGCCGAGCTGCAGGTGTGCGGGCAGCTGGTCATGCCGGCGGTTCAGCCCTCAACTGTCTGCTGGTTGCATTTCTGTTAAAACCAGATGGGAAACCTGACTTATGGGCTGCGGGGTGCAAGCCCTGCAGGCCGCCCAGGTGCAGCTGGAGCTGGCGGACAGCGACAGAGCAGCGCTGGCGGCACGAGCCGGCAGGCTGGAGGCGGAGCTTGCGGGCTCCCAGTGCCGGCTGCACGATGCGCTCGAGGTGTTGGAGGGGGTGCTGGGGGAGCGCTCCGCGCTGCTGCGGCACACGCGGGAGCTGCAGGAGCAGCTGGCGGCGGCGCTGGAGGAGCGGCGGTGCAGCAGGCGGGAGGCGGGCTCCGCGGGAGGCTCGCCGGCGGCGGCCACGCCGCGGCAGCAGCTACGTCAGGAGCTGGCGCTGGCTCAGGTGCGAGGAGGAGGCCTGCAGACATCTCTGGTGATCTGCTCCTCCTGGCTTTGTCGCCGTAGCTGCATTACTCTCCTCCACATGGCTGTGTTGTAGCACAGCGTTTCGCCGCCCCACCGGCGGGCAACCCCGCTTGCGATGTGCAGGCACAGCTGAGCGAGTTGCGGCAGGCGGCGCAGGCGTGGGAGGCGGAGCGGCAGCAGCTGCTGGTGGAGGCGGAGGAGGAGCGGCAGCAGCTGCAGGAGGGGCTGGCCGAGGCGCTGACGCAGGCCAGCTGCGCGCAGGTGCGCTGAACTGGCACGCTGCGTGCGCTGCGCTGGGCATGCTGCGTGCGACCCGTGGTCCCTGCTGTGGTTTCGCCCAGCATGCAGGCCTGTGAATGGCCCTCCCTCCCTCCCTCCTTCCCTCCCTCCTCCCTCCCCCCCGGGCAACGTGTGCAGAGGGAGGCAGACGCCGCCGCCGAGCGCGCGTCCCATTGGTGCTCCCTGGCCCTGGTGCTCCAGCGCTCGGCTCTGCTTCCCGACAGCCCCGCTCAGGCAGGCCCTGGCCTCGCCTCCCCCGCCTCCCTCGCCTCCCTCGCCTCACTGCACTCACCGGCCGGCACCAGCGCCAGCGGTACAACCAGCGCCGCAGGCAGCTGCAGCAGGGAGGTCGTTGGCGCGCTGCCCGGCGGGCGGCGGCGCTCTCCAGCGCTGCCTGCATCGGCGCCGCGCCTTGCTGCCAGCTCCAGCTGTGGCGACCTGGACCCAGCTAGAAAGACGGTGGAGCCCAGCGCCAGCCTGATTGCAGCCTTCCATGCCGTGGCCGCATGCGAGTCGGCGGAGCAGCTGCAAGGCAGCCCGGTGCTGCAGGCCTGCCCTTCCCCTGCGGCCCGGCGGCAGGCCAGGGCCAGGGCGCAGTCGTGCAGCAGCCCCGTGGGACCCGCAGCTGGAGCGGTGGCGAGGCTGCGCAGCGCGAGCTCGCCGGGCTGCCTGCTGGCGGGCAGCGCTGACCTGGCGCCCGGCTCCCACCTGTCGCTGCTGCACCGGCTGCCCACGCCGGGGCTGTCGCTGGACAGCAGCCTGGGGGCAGGGCACAGCCCCATGCTGTCCACGCCCTCGCCCTTTTCGGCGCCGCCGCTGGGCGCAGGTGGGCGGGTGGGGCGGATGTGTAGCCAGCGCCACGCCTGCGCATTACCTGGCCGACCAACTGCTGCATGCTGTGTAGCCTATGCGTTGGCCATGGCTGTATGATGACTCCCTGAGCCTCTCAGCCCACCTCGTGCCACTGTGAATTGCCTCTCCACTGTGCAGTGCCTCCCTCGCTGCCGCCTGCCCGCGCCTGGCCGCCGCTCGCTTCTGGAGGGTCCTTGGAGGCTGAAAGCGTGGCGGCGCTCTCTGGGGAGCGGCGCCTGGGCAGCCTACGCACCAGCACCACCAGCAGTGCAGGAGGCGAGGAGGAGCTGGGGCTAGGCGTGTCTATCAGCCTGGCCCTCCCGCCGCCGCAGGCTGTGGCGGGTCCCATCCAGCCTGTCACCGCTAAGCGCCAAGGCTTCTTCTTCAGCCGCCTACTGTGCGCCAGCAGCCTGCCGCCTGAGCAGGCGGCAGAGCGGCAGAGCCGGCGGGACTGATGCCCGCTGGCGGCCCAATTGTACTGCTAGCATGCGTTGATGTAGCTGCCTCGATGCTCTGTTGCTCTCTCCATCCGGTTGTGTTTTTGCCTATCTTGTTGTTGTTGAGAGCGGAACCCTTCCTCAACACCCTGCCCAATCTCTGCAATCATGCGCCAGAGCCTGTTACAGCCGGGACAGTACTGTGTGCTGTCAAGGGGGGCAGGCAGGACCGTGCATGATGTCCCAGGATGGATTGATGCTGTCCGCAACCCAGCCGCCGCAGCTCAACGCCTGCCTTCCCCTTCCGCCAGCAGCCGCAGGCGCACAGGGAACAGCGTGTCGCTGCCGGGGTTGCGGGCAAACGCCTCTATGGTGCCGCCGTCTGCCCGCGGCGCCCAGTGCTGCAGCGAGCGCAGGCGCCAGGCCGCCGCCATCTGCACCGCGGCCAGCGCGCCGCAGCGCCTGGGCGCGCCGCGGGGCGCCTCTGACAACACATAGCCCACCACCTGAACAAGCTCTTGCGTCACCTCGCCGCCACAGCTGCTGCTGCTGCCGCTGCTGCTGGGGCCGGCGAGGCCCTCGGCGGCGGCGGCGAATGCCAGCTCAGCATCCAGGTCGCCGCCAGCCTCCACCAGCGCAACCTGCTGCTGCTCCAGCTGCCGCTGCCGCCGCCGCTGCTGCCGGCCACCAAGCACAGTCAGCGGCGCCCGCTGAAGCAATGCCTCGCGGCCCGCCACATAACACAGAGCAGCGCCCTCGGCGATCGAGCCCGACTTGACTGGATGGACGGTTGCCTCCAGTAGGCAGCCGCTGCTGGTGCTGCCAGATGGTTCCCTGGACGCCCCGCCCCGAGAGGCTCCTGCCACGGCGTCGGCGGAGGCGGCCACAGCTTGCAGCTTGGGCCGCCATTGGAGCAGACCCTGCCGCAGCGCAGCCGTGACGGGGCGGGCAGCGCCGCTGGCGCCGCCGCTGGCGCCGCCGCTGGCGCTGCCGCTCAGGGCGGCAGCCATTGCGGCATAGCAGCGGGCCACATACACGTCGCCTGCCAGCTCAACTGCCACATCAGCAGGCGCCCCGGCGTCAACCTCCATGCCCTGCTGCTGCTCTGGCGGCGCCTCTGTGCCGCTGCCACTGCTGCCACCAGCAGGAGGCAGCACCAGCCGCTGCCAGTCTGGCGGGCTGGGCGGCGCAGCCAGCATCTGCTTGCCCGGCGGCCGCTTGGCGATGATGGCCTGTCGCCGCCGCTGCTGCTGCCGCATCAGCGCTGCATAGGCGGGAGTGTCTGGATGGTCCCATGGAAAGCAGCGGCGCTGCTGCAGCGTGTGCAGCCAGCGCCACTCGCGCTGGCCTGTGGGCTTGCAGCCGGCATAGGCGGCAGCCAGCCAGAAGGGCGGCACCCAGCCGGCAGGGAGCACCAGGGACCAGCCTGCGGGCAGTGGAAAGAGACGCACAGCGGGATGGCTGGGGCGGGCAGTCTTGGCAGATATCGGCAGCGAAAAAAGCCAAGAACAGGAGTTGCGGCACCCAGGGGCGGTCCCTCTCGCACCTGGGATAGCCCCAGGCTCCTGCCCGTCATGCCGCACCAGCACAGCAGGGCAGTAACCCTGGAGCTGCAGCTGGCGCTCCTGCTGCTGCTCCTGCAGCTGCTGCTGCCGCTGCTGCTGGTCGCCAGCGCTGCCGCCAAGCGTGGAGCCCTCAAGGTGCAGCAGGCGGCGGCGCAGCTGCTGCCGCCGGCTGCTGAGCTCGGGCTCGCTCAGCGGCGGCGGCACGCGCAGCAGGCGCGGCACGTCCAACCGCTGCTGCTGGGGCTGCTGGCTGCTGCCGCCTGCTGTCCCTCCCTCGGCCCCAGCAGCAGCCGTCGGCAGCAGGGTGGCAGACAGGGTGCCCAGCACCACTGGCTTGCGCAGGCGAGGGTCTGGCAGCAGCAGCTGCACGGCCTCCCCGTGCTGCATGCTTGCAAGCACAGGTGGCAGCGATGGCAACGGCTCCACCTCCTGCTGCTGTTCCTGCTGCTGATTTAGCAGCGAAGCCGGCTGCTGCTGCTGCTGCTGTGGTGCACTGCCGCCAGCAGCGGCTGTGGCGCCCGCCAGGGCCACAGCCAGCGCCGCATCCGACGCCCCTCCCCAGATCTCTAGCCGCCTCAAATCCAGCACGGAAACAGTGATGCTATGGTTGCTAGGGGGGTCCCCGGCTGCGGCATGGGCTGCGCCGGCCGCGGCCCGCAGAGCTGCAGCCGCCTCGGCCGCTGCGGCAGGGTGCACCCAGAGCAGCGCCTGCATGCTCCCGCTGCCTGCTGCCCGCTGGCCTCCCTCCTCCACCGCCGCCTCGGCCGCCCCGTCAACATCCATACCGGCGCCGCCACCACTGCAGCTCTCGACACTGGCAGGGCACAGCAGCAGCTGTGCAGGGCAGATGGCCCCTTGTGGGTAGCGTCCGGGCTGGTGGAGCATAACCTCCTGCTCCCAGCCGCCCAGGTCGCCGCCGCCCGCACCGCCTGCCTCACTGATGTCGGCAGCCAGCGCCGCGGCGGCGACGGGGTCCAGCAGGGTGCTGAGCACGCTGTGCACGTCCCGCCAGGCGCCCCTGCACACGTGACAGGCGGGTGCGCCTGGCTGAGCGGCAGGCAGGGCGGGCGATGCTGGCGCGGCATGGCCCTGCAGTGGCGTGCGACCCGTGGCGTGGGCCCTGATCTCAAAGCCCCCCACACACACCTACAAAACGTTAGCCAAATGAAGCCCCCCCCCCACCCCCACCACCCCCCCCACAAAAACATGATATTCAAGCA